CTTCCCTGGGACCTAGCGCTTGAAGGATTTCTCCCCGCGGTTTGTCTCCTCTCGCTCGGTCTTTCTGAGAATCTCTGTCTTTCTTTCCCTTTCTGTCGGTCTCCTCCTCTCCTCTCGCCCCTCCCAACCTCCGCCCCCGCTCCCCAGGGTTGGAAACTCCGCGGAGGAGCCGGGGTCACAATGGTGCGCTTCACGGTTTCCTCCACACGCTTCACCACCGGGAGGGGAACACGGGGGTGTTCCTTTCGTCTGCCCACGAGAAAGAAAGGGGCTTTGACAGAGGTAGTTATTTCTTCCTAATTTACAACCCCGAGGCTCCGTGCTCCGGGCCTGGCGGCCGCGAGCAGGAGCCACCGAACGTGTTTCCAGGCGCGCAGGCTTTGCCTAGGTAACCGGACGTTTGGGAGGGTGTGGGGAGAAAGCCTAGGGGCGCGCGGCTCCGCGGTAGGAAACAGGGTTGTGGCTCTTCCCCGCGAACGCTGGTGCTCCAGGAGAGCCCCCTCCTCGAAGAGACGCGACCCTCACCCAGCAAGTCAGAGGCCAATCCTCCGAGAAAGGCTCCGCTTAAAAGGCCCAGGGGAAGGGCGGGATTGCGGGCACCTACTGGAGTAGGGGGTGGGAGGTTGCCGGAGACCCCCACTGAAGATGCGGGGGGTAGAGGGCTGGAAGCGCAAGCTACGGCCGTGGGAAGATCCGTCCGTGCCTGCGCTAGCTCGCTCAAGCTTTCCGTAGGATCCGCTGGGGCTGGGGAAGGGGCTGGGGCTGGGACTGGGGGTGTCAAGGGAATCCGGCCTTTCCTGGCGGTCGAGGGCTTTCCGGACCCGAAGACTCCGGGTACCACTCCTTCTCCAGGGAAACCATGGGTGCAGGGGCTGCAGGAGGCGAAAGTTACGCGACCCTCGCAGCCCGCACACCTGCGAGGATTTGGGATTTTGTTTATTTTGGCTCCACGTTCCCTCCCCTGGAGCTGTGAGTGGGTCCAGACAAAGGGGGCGCTATAGGCCGGAGTTTGCAGCAGTGGAATCCTTCCTCCAGGCCCCTCGGAGCTGCGCTTTCAGCTACTAAGTTTCGCTGAAGCAACGCGCAGAGACGCTCGCCCCGGAGCCGCGCTGGCCCCCGCGGAGCGTGCCCCCCTGGGCCGCCGGACGGCCGAGCCTAGAAGTCGCCCACCCTCGAGGATACCGCCCGCTGTGTGCAGGGGGTCTCCCTCCGACCTCCCCTTCAGCTCCGAACGCCTTCCGCCCTGTTGCCTTGCTTCCAGCGCTGGCCTATTTCCACTGCGCCCTTTTGTTTGCTTGACCCCTGGACCCCGAAACTCGCGGCTAATAGACGCAAAGCTCCATTAGCATTTAGAATGAAAAGCTCAGACTTTCTTAATTCCTCGGGGCATTCATGCATTCGTTCCGGACCTTGTGCATTTCCTATGCAACGTGTAAATTTGTGTTTGAGGGGTGGGAGCGGGTGGGATTGGAAAACGACTATTTCCCTCTCGTACACACTCACTGACCCCCCACCCTCCGAATTTGGGCGGAACTCTTTCCTCAAGTGTTTTCCTTTCTTCGGTTTTCCTAACTTCGTGAGTTCGGAACCAATTGTGGCAGCAGAGGGATCGATTTCTGGGCGCCGTCAGGCTTTGCTTTTTTTAGCCTCGGTTCGGGTGCCACAAAAGGACGGTGAGCGCGGCTGATGCGGACAACCTTTCCTCGGTACCCCAAGGTGGTGGGATGCTTCCTGTTCCAGGACTCCAGTCACCTTACAATTTTCTTGTAATTAACGTAGCCTTTCTAGAGGCCCCCACCAACTCCCAATACGCCCTGCCCAGGCCCCGCTGACTCAGCGTGGACTTACTGTGACCTTTCTCTCTCCGGGTGCCCGCAGAGCCCACTGCGGAAGAGCGCAGCCCGGCCAGCCCCGGCCCTGAGACTGGACGCTCAGCGGAGTCCAGCAGCACCGCCGCTGCTTCGCCCAGTCCTACGTCTCCTTCTGCTTCACTCTCAGCCTCCGCTGGAGAGACCCACAGCCCCACCATTCAGCGCGCAAGATATCCTCCAGGTAGGTCTGAAGGCGCGACCCCTTATTCCAGCCCGCCTGGAGAGGTGGGTGGGGAACCAAACAACCGGCGCGCAAAGTGGTCTACGCGCCCAGCGCCAGGACAGTGAGTGCCGGCCGTGCGTTTGGCAGCGCAGGCGGCTTCCTTGCAGGAAGCTCCTCTGGATACCACACCCTGTTGCTACCGAGTGGAGCAGTCAGATCCAATTAAGCATTGCATGTCTCAAAAATATTTTTCCTAAGAAAAATGCAAATACACCATAGATGAGGATATTTTAATACATTTTAACGTCTTCATTTTTGCTCTCCCTTTATATGCAGTTTATGCATTTAAGAGTTATGAGGTCACTTAAGAGCAATATAAAGCATTTTTGTGTGTATAAAACCCAAACCACTTGGATGCAGAAGTGTGGATGATTGAAGCTCTAAGGGAAAGAGAAAAAGCATTTGACCTGAAAACCAAGGAGTAAATTTGAGCTGGCAAAAGTAAGGTTTGCAGGCTTGGCTTGTAATACCTCTTTATGCATTTGTCAAAGGGACACCCGGTGCCAGGTGCCAGGCCTGTGTAGGCACCAAAGATATGCAGATAAATAGAACTCAGTCCCAGCAAGCTCACTGTCTAACTGGGAACCACAACAAGACACAAGAGCAGTAGGCAGGGACTGGCAAGGGAGAATGAGAGGAAAGACTAAAAGAGAAGTCCTAGAGGTGTGAAGGGAGGCGAGTAGATGAAACATCAGGCAGTGTTCTTTCTTTTAAATGATTAGTCTTTCATTTCACCCCAACAACTGGAAAGCAGGAGAAGTAATCCCTTAACTTCAAACTAGTGAGTGTTTTTAAGGCCCTGCTTGAAAAATTAAGGCTCGAACTGGCCTCTCCTCACCACTGCTTCTTCCAACAGGCCCTCATCACCCTTTTTCAAGTCAAGATTTCATCCCATACACCCATGACTCAATCAGATTTGGAAATGTGGGTAAGAGAAAGATGTCAAAGGAAATGTGAAGTACTCACTCTTCTATTAGTCACACCTTTTACACCGTCGACTCCAAAGAGACGTTAAGCACCTGGTTTTCCTCTGGTTCAGAAAAACCAACCACCAGAAATTGCCCATTTTACCATTTATATTTAGCCATAAAGAAAGGGAAATAATTAGATAAGTCATTCACTAGATCTGATCAGTCTCAGGGCCTTCTTATCCAGCTCAACCTCTCTGAATAATAGTAAGCACCCTGGATACTTTGGGGGCTCAATATAGTCAAACTGGCAGAGGAACTAAACCTATTAAGAAACTGCTTTCTTTTTTAAGGGGTACTAATTCTCCTGTCATAAAAAATATGTAAACTAACTTGCCTATTATGATAGCTGTAAACTGTTGTCATAAAACAGCCACCGATACATTTTATTAGCCAGAATTGGGGAAAAGCATATATATATATATATATATACCGTACATAGCAGAGAGCAGGTTTGGTGGGTGTTTTGTTGCTGCTGCTGATCTTCTTTGCAGATGGTGCAAACCCCCCAGTCCATTTCCTGGGCCTGCATTCCCCACCTCACCACCTAGCTGGCTGAAGTCACCAGCAGGGGTCCAGTTTGTGCAGGCTGCTAGCCCTATCTGGAGGACTGGAGAGGGGTGGGAGAAATCCACCGCAGTATGTGTGGGTAGCCTTAGTTGGCACTTATACAATGTTAGAATGTCACTGTTTCCCTTGGTCAGTAAATCCCATGTAGGACACTTTTTTTTTTTTTTACTCATAGGTTTATAAATCAATGTGTGTGACTTGGGAGACCAGTGACCTCTTCCCTCCAAAATAAACCCACAGGGCATTCACTGGCTTTCTTTCTGTCCTTCCAACTAATGGCTGAAGTCACTCCAATTAATTTATAGGGCTCAAAAACACTTTTAAAAACGTCACTGGGCCTATGAGAGAAGACATCAGATTTCCCAGAGCTGGTGAAGGACAGGGCAAGGGAAGGAAGGTGGACACAGAGGCCCCCAGGAGGCCAGGTTCTGGCATCCTGTGGCCCCTTCGACTGTCTGTCAGGGATTCAGCTTTTTTTTCCCCAGCAGGAAGCATGGGGTCTTAGGTCTATGCTGCCGGGAGGGAAGGATATCCCTTCCGCTCTAGTGCCTAGACTTAAAGAGCAACGGAGGCAGTGCTGACTTTCTTCTGAGAGACCCTCTCCCCCGCCCCTGCAGATATGCCCTGCGTGCAAGCCCAGTATAGCCCTTCGCCTCCAGGGTCCAGTTATGCAGCGCAGACCTACAGCGCCGAGTACGCCTCGGAGATCATGAACCCGGACTACGCCAAGCTGACCATGGACCTGGGCGGCACCGAGATCACCGCCAGGGCCACCACGTCGCTGCCCAGCTTCAGCACCTTCGTGGAGGGCTACTCGGGCAACTACGAATTCAAGTCCTCCTGCCAGTACCAGATGCAGCCCCCGGGGCCGCGGCCCTTGATCAAGGTGGAGGAGGGCCACGCGCACGGCTATCACCAC